ACGCGGGACCTCCGAGCCCCGCTCCAAGCCCGTGCAGGCCGCCGAGCGCCGCCGCCACTCCAGGCACCACTGGCGCCCCCAGCCCCGCTGGTGGAGCGGCCCCGCCGCGGGCGCAGCAGCCGAGGCCGCTCCGAGCTGCAGGCCGATGCCGCCGCAAGGCAGGACTGCAGGGTCGCCAGCCGCTCCAGCCGCTGGCGCTGCCGCGCCAGCGCCGCCCTGCAGCGCGGCCACCGCGCCGCGGATCCCCGCGTCCGCGAGGCGGCCCGGCAGCTCAGCCCGCGCGCCAGCTGCGCCAAGCCCCCTGCTGCCTGGAGCGGGTCGGCAGCGGCCGCAACCAGCGCCTGGCGCAGCCCGCGCCCCGCGGCGCGCGCGCCCCCGCCACCGCGCCTGCCGCCGGACGCCGCCGCCGCACCACCGCCGCGAGGCCCCCCGCCGAGCGCGGGCAGGGCGCCCGCCGCTGCCGCGGGTGCGCCGCCAGGCGGGAAGAGGGGTGCGCCAAGCCCCACCGCGGGCGCGCGGCGTGCAGCGCCTCCGCCAGCGCGCGCCCGAGCGGCTCGGCACCCTCGGCCTCGCCCTCGGGCGCCGCCAGCTGCCACGCCGCCTCTTTCGCGAGCAGCAGGGCCGCCGCGCCCGCGGCCCGCCCTGGGCGGCATGGAAGGGCCTCCTCCGCAGTGGCCTGCAGGAGGAGGACGGCCCTAGGCTCGAAGCGGATCTGGGGGCCCGAAGCCAGAAGCGCTTCCAAACAAAAACACATCCGAATTCCTTGAACCGAAAAAGCTTTGCAAGCAGGAGGGAGGGGCGCCCCCTCGGCCATCTTCACCCGCCCCTCCCCTTCTAGACGAACGCAAATTAGCTAAGCCATATGCTTGACGCGCGTCGGAGCTGAAGCCAGACGGCAGATGGGCCCCCTATTTGAACCGGGTTTACGCGGGCGATCGAACAGCTCTGGCGGGAACTTTTTGATCGGCGGCCCGCAAGGAAAAGTCCAGAGGGCGAGTCAATCAGGCAAGCTGGGGCACAGTGCCAGATACTTAAGCTGCCAGGCAGCAGGAGGCGCAGGCCAGTGCAACGAGCCCACAGACCGATGGCTGGAGCCCGCGCCGAGACCGGCCAGGGTGCACATGCAGAAGACCGCTGAGCGAATGCCAGCGGAGGCCAACGAGGAGACGCCCTCGCGGCGCCAGCTCGCGAGCGGAACTGCCACAAACTGTCGGCAGACTGCGCGCAGGGCCAGCACCCAGCAGGCGGGGATACCTGTGACCAGCGGCCCGCAAGGAGAAGCCCAGAGGGCGAGACGATTGAGCAGACAGGAAGCGGAAACGCAGAACCGCAAAGAAGGGGGCCAGAACTGTCCAACACCAAGCGCTGTCTACACTCATCAGGCATACCCCGTCGCCGCCTGGTCTGACCGCGCGGGGCGCGGCGGGGGGCGGGCTCGCCCCCGTCGGGGAGCTCGCCCGTGATCTGATGGGCGGCACTGGAGGAGCTTACACGATTGGAGGCGGCGCCGGCCAGGCCGCATCTGCGTTAGTTTGGTGACCCCAGGCCGCAGACAACAGGGTCTGAAAACAAGTCATGAGAAGCAGAGACGGTGGACGGCCCCCGGGCCACGCGTGGATGAGAGGTCGGAATGCGACGGCGCCTTGACCAGACAAGGTGGAGCAAATGAGGGATGGAGGATGACCGTGACGGATGCGCACTCTTTCTGGTACCATCGCCCAGGCCTCACCACCTCAGTTCTCCTGAGACTGGGAGCCGCTGCGGCCTCGCTGCGCCCCCGCTTTCTCGCCGGGCGCGCCCAGGGCGGCACTGCCCGCCGAAGACTTGCGGCCGTCGCCATCGCCGGGCGCCGCGCGCGCCGCAGCCGCGGCCGCGGGCCGGCGCATGACCTTCTCGCCTCCGCGGCGCACCGTCTTCTCGAGCTTGTCGCCGTCGGGCTTGCACCGGTTCTTGCTCTTGTTATTGTCCTTGCCCGTGCCCGTCGCGACTCCTGCTTGCTCGCGAGACCCGACCGGCGCCGCGTTGCCGGCGCGCTGCCAGAACGGACGCGGCAGGGATGGGCGCCATCCCGAGCCGCGGGCGGCGTCGCTGCCGGACTCCCTCTCCCGGCCCCGCTGCTGCTCGCCGCGCCCCCTCTCCTGCCCCCGCGGCCGATCGGGCGGGCGCGACGGGGGCCTCGGCGGGGGGCGCCGCGGAGGCGTGGCCGGCGCGCGCTCGGCCCGCGGCGACGGGGGGCGCAGCGACCTCGGAGGCGGCCAGAGGGGGCCGCCTTTGTTCGGTCCAAGGGGCACATCTCGCGGGGGGCCCGCAGAACTGCAGTCCCCAGCGGCGCGTGAAGAACGAGCTCCGCCCGCGGCGTCTGAGGGCTCTGCGGCGGAAGTGGCCGCGCCAGGGGGGAATGGCGGCAGCGCTGGCAATCGCTGCGGCTCTGAAGCGGGCGTCAAAACGTCGGCTATCTGCGATGGTGGCAGGGCGGCTTGCGCGTCAGTGCGCGCGCGGCTATATGGGCCGCGGCGCGCGAGACTGCTGACCGCGAGCCGTGGACAGATCCAGGCTGCTGGGGGCCGCCGGCGCAGGCGCGCCGTTGGATCGCGGCCGCGGCTGAGGAGGGCTCTCCGCGACCATGAAAACGACGCGCCCTCCGGAGTGACCGCCGCTGCCGCGGCCCTGCGGCGACGACGCGGCGCCTCGGGGGCGCCCGACACGAAACTAGCATTTGCTTCCACAGCTACCACGCGTCACGGCGGTCCCGCCATATCCCCGGGAACTCCAAGAAACGCATACTTCTGGGACCCTCTGCCCTTTGCATTTGCTATTTCCGGAGAATCGTTCTCCTCGATGAACCCACGCGCCATGCGCTCAGGGCGTCGCGCGCGCCTGCGTCGCTGACGTTTCGCCGGCTTCATCTGCCAAAACAACAGGGCATCTATCTGAGCGGGGCTGGGACCTTGGAACTGTGGAGCTTGGCGAACGATCTCGCAGCCTGGATCCGGATTGGTGTCCGAGGAGACGCCGCTGACGTAGTCGGCCCCGTCCGCGGGCGCCCTTGCGGCGGCGGGATCTGCGGCCGGCGGCGGCGCGGCGCTCTGCGATGGGCCTCCGGCGTGCGTCATGGCACCTCTGGCGCCGGGAAGCTCCGCGGTGCTGGCTGCCCAGGGATCGAGGCCCTGAGTGCGACAGGTGCATGCGGAAGGCGCGCCTTGACTTGTGTCATTGGTCATGCCCACGAAGCTTCCGAGCAATGGCGGCGAACGAAGGGCTCTAGCGATGTTGTTTGGTGTGTGCTCCATGGGGTGGCACGCGCGCGTGAGCAAACTTGTGATACTGTTCAAGTTCTGTGGATTGGTATCGGTTGCCGTATGGTTGGAGCAGCGTCGTGATTTGCTAGCTGTGACACCGACCGCTTGGAGGAGCAGCTAGCTGTAGCCTTCCCGAGACATCGCAGCTCCACCGTTGTGCGTAGCTCGGAATCGCAGCGTGAGAAGCCACTAAAGCAGCGCATCGGCGGTCTCGTTGTGGTGCCTCGAGAACTCGAAGAGCTCGCGGTTAGTCTGGAGGCGCGACTCCTCGCCCAGAAGGCCGGAGTGCGTGGCAAGGTTCGCGATGAGGTAGGTCGCGGCGTCCCCGTACTAGCCGTTGACCATGCCCCCTCTGTCATATCCGTGAAGCCCACGGAGCTCGGGAGCGGCTCCACCGAGTTTGAGGATGACGGTGCGAATTGATGGGCGCTGTCCATGTCGGTGGCGAGCACGGTCCAAGCCAGAATGTCCTGCACCCAATGACGCAATGGGTACAAAGTCTCGCGCTCGAATGACCCTGAAGGCGGCTGGCGAAAGGTGGTCCCGCCGCGATTGCCGCCGCCGCCCTGTGCGCCGGCCCCACCAGACATCATGCAGGTGAGCCAGAAACGGGCGGCCGCGAAGAACGTGCGGATGCTGTCCCAGGGCGTCAAGATGGAGACCTTCCTCGGTAAGACTCCACCGGCGCCTTGGGATTCGGGCCTGCGCAGGGACGAACGCCATGTCGAAGTCGGGGACATCCGTAGTACTGCTGGCAACCTTGGTCGAAGTCGAAGCCAAAGTTGGTGATGCGACGCGCTCGCAAGGACTGCTAGCACTGTCGCGCACATCGCGAGGCACGGTACTAGCCCAGGGAGGAGCCTCGCTTTCATGCCCGACGCGAAGCTGTGGCCAGCGCGTGTGGGGTGCGATGGGTCGTAAGAGCGCGGTGGCGTTCCCATGGGCGGTTCACTCCGCATCGCGTCGCCTGTACCTGTTTTTGCCCTCGCAGCCAGATCTGTACAAAAACCTCGAACGATGCTGCCAGTTTCTGTGCGTCTGGGGCGAATTACCCGTGGGTTTGCAGAACAGCCATAAGCACCAGCTGCTAAAGGAGATTGGAGGGTGGTACGGGTGCGGAGACGAAAGTATCTGCTAATGCGCGTCCACATCGCACTCTGCGCACGTTCCGTGGATCGCGAGCTGGGATCGCTCCCAGCTCCGCTACCAAATCGCATTGCGGGTATTGGAAGCTTGACGAGAGAGCGCATTGCGGCAATGAGATGTAGATACCGGGCTTTTCAGTATTTGTTTAATACGCGCCGGCACCGAAGTCAAACGGCGGCAGAGCATCCTCTTTGAATGAGGAGAAGGGAGAAACGGGAGGAGAGGAGGGAGAAGCAGGACGAGAAGAAGGAGAAACTTGGAGCGGCCCGGCAAAAGGATGGGGCAGTGAGGCAGGTGTCGGAAACAATTCAGCTACACGCACGCGTAACATGTGGATTGAACTTCCCCCCCCCCCTCCCCCCCAATGCAGTGTCGGTTTCGGATCCTCCGAGTTCGAGTGTCCGAGCTTAGTGCTCGAACGCGCCAAACCTCTGCGGGTGAGGGGGGGGGATGTTGCTTACGGAAGCGTTCCCCTCAGACGAGCAGGGGGCAGGAGGACGGAGGAGGGAGCAGGCGGGGAAGAGGCGGCGGCGGAGGCGGCGGGGGGGGGGCGGCCTTTCAGCCTCAGGTAGTTGAGCACGAGCCGGGGGATCTTGCGGCTGGCCTCGGCCGACGTCGGGCAGCTGGTGAACTTCGCCCTGTCCCTGCGCACGGCCCGGCGGCGGCACGATCCCTGGGCCGCCCGGCCTCACCTCCCCGCGCCGCGCAAAGCCTCGCCGCGCCCCCCCGCGCGCCGCCTCGGCCCGCACAGGGCAGACCGCCGCGACGCTCGGCCTCGGGAGGCCTCGGGGCCCACGCGCCCGCGCGGCCGCACCGCCTCCGCCCGGCGATCTGCGGCCCCGTCGAGGCAGCATTCTCCCCGGGATCACCCTCGCCATCGCTCGGACGTCCACTCCCTGTGCATTGTTTCGGTCTCGTGCGTGTAATTGTTCTTCGCAGCGTGAACCAAAATGCTCCTCGATGTCCTCCTCCTCCTCCTCCTCCTCCTCCTCCTCCTCCTCCTCCTCCTCCTCCTCCCCCTCCTCCCCCTCCTCCTCCTCCTCCTCCTCCTCCTCCTCCTCCTCCTCCTCCTCCTCCTCGATGGCCCCTGCCGATAAAAAAATGCACACGCCCGAGCGATGTCATCGAGCACCCCCGGGAGAGAGGCAGACGCACTGGCCCGCGCCCCCGGGGGCGATCCCGAGGGTCGGGGCGGGGCGGCACGCCGCAGGTCCCCTGCCGCTGCAGCCTCGTCTTCCTCCTGGTGTCTCCTCCTCCTGGCTCGTCCTCCCTCTTCCTCCTCCTCCTCCTCCTCCTCATCCTGCTCCTCCTCCTCCTCCTGCTCCTCCTCCTCCTCCTGCTCCTCCTCCTCCTCCGCCTCCTCCTCCTCCTCCTTCAAGGGAGGGGGATCGCAGGAGAGAGCGAGAGAGGGAGGGACGGGTAGGCAACGAGATACAAATGGAGGGAGGGATCGCACTAGACAGATCCGCAAACATACATGGCCTCAACTCGTGATACGCGAGCAGTAAGAGGACCATAGGAGCACGAGAACGAGGCCTCGCGTCCTGAGAATATGCCTTGCGTCACCTTAGCGACTCCTACGGACAAAATGAGCGATGCGAAAAACAATGTGCAATACGCGAAGAACCTCTCACCTATGTCTCCTTCGTTTCAGCATAAGCTATGGAGCTATTTCGTACGCACTTAATCAGGACTTGAACATGCGAATGTTGCAGTCGACGTCCCCACAACAAAATCTGGCGCTACAGCATCGCATGTCTTTGCACAACGTTTTACCTTGTCCCTATGGAAACCGCACCCCGACAACGACCCTGCCAAGAAGCGTCAATCGTGACACGGAAAGCTTCAGCTGCCTGGCGCATCGAACGAGAAGTAGTGTATTTGGCGACCCTGCCCGGAAACTCAAGTTTGGCTGCCAGTTAAGAGAACTGTCGGCGGAGGAGGCAGAGGAGGAATAGGAGAAGGAGGCGACGGCAATTGAAGCCATGCGCAAGCAGCAGGGGGAAACTCAGCAGACCGTGCACGACTGCGCACCGCGCCACAGCCAGAGCCAAGCGGCTAGCCGAAGCGCAGACCATCGCAAGCCGCTGGGCTAGGAGGCCCGTGTCCGTACAAAACTTGGCACGAGGGAAGAAACTTGTCCTGCGGGCAAAAGGTCCTGCTCCTCGGCTTTTGTTGAAGGTTCACCTGCCCTGGAAGGGCCCTGGGGAGGCCAAACAAAGCCAACGACCTCAGGACCCTGTTCTCTCAGGACCACTCTGCCTCATGACGATGCACACGTGTCGCCTCCCTGGGCTGCAATCCTCGCTGGACTGAAAAGGAACTCGCGGTCTGTCTGAATGAATCCGCCACCGTGTCCTGAGGCACGAGCTGGAGTGTCCTGGAGTCCTTCGCCTGATCCCTGAGGCCTCAGTCCTCGATCCTGAGGATTCCCTTAGGATTAAGTCGGGCCTGTCCCCCTACAGGGGGATTTTCGACGAAAAATAAAAAATACACCCAAAATACCCCCAAACGGCCAAAACATATTCCAAACATAGTCCCCAGACTATTTTTGGACCATGTTTGGACTATTTCTGGGGTATCTTTTGTTTCTCGTCGAAAATCCCCCTGTAGGGGGACAGGCCCGACTTACAGTCAAAAACCCTAATAAGGACGCGCGGTAAGGACGCAAGGCCCTTGGAAGCCGAATTTGGGATTTCTGGGGCGGCGGACGACGAAAACCCCAAGGACGCAGGAGCAAGGAAGAGCAAGGGCGCAAGGGTACCCTGAGCAAAGTCGCGCGTCCTCATCAGGGTTTTTGACTGTAACCTTAAGAGCCTGGACCCCAAATACACACATTTCTTTGGACTCGGCAAAGAAAGCCCCGACAAGAGGGCCCCGAGAGGACAAAACATTGACTTCCTTAGGTTCTTATGTTTGAGAGAGCGCGCCCACAGCACCAGAGCAAAGGGGAAGGGGGTCCCCCCTTCCCCTTTGGAAGCTCCCCCCCCCCTCCCTCCCTTTTTCGCCTCCCCCCTGAAGCTACCCCACCCCCCTTTCGCCACTCCGGAGCTACCCCCCCCTCCCTCCCTTTCCAAAGGGAGGGGGAGCTTAGCTACCCTCCACCTTCCCTTGACCCCCCTCTGCCAGAAGCTACCCCCCCCTTCTCCCCTTTGGTTCCAAAAGGGGGGGGGCTTAGCAGCACCCCTCCCCCTCCCCCCTTTCGGCACCCGGGAAGCTCCCCCCCATCCCCCCCTTACGAAAGGGAAGGGGGGCCTACCCCCCCCCCTCCTTTGACCACCCTCTCTGCCGCCAGAAGCACCCCCCCCGCTTCCCTCCATTCTTCTCCCCCCTGCCGGAAGCTCCCCTCCCCTCCCCCCTTTCCAAAAGGGAAGGGGCGGCTTAGCTACCACCCCCATCCCTTGAACTCCCCCTGCCGGATGATGCTCCCCCATCGCCGTCGTCGTTGCCGTCGCCGTCTTCGTATGACCTCGTCGTGGTCGTCACAGCGAGGACGAGATCATAAGAAGACGGCGACGGACGACGGACGATGCACGACCGACGACCGACGACGACGACGACCCAGGGTCAGAGAAAACGAAACCACGACCCAGGGGCTGAGAAAACGAGAAAACGAACCAGGGCCCGAGAAAAAACGAGACCACGACCCACGAGCCGAGAAAACGAGAAAACGAACCAGGGTCCCAAAAAACGAACCAGGGTCCGAGAAAACGAGACCACGGCCCAGGGGCAGAGAAAACGCGAAAACGAACCAGGGTCCAAGAAAACGAGACCACGACCCAGGGGCCGACAAAACGAGACAACGAGAAAACAAACCAGTGCCAAGGAAAACGAAACCACGACCCACGGGCCGAGAAAACGAGACAACGAGAAAACGAACCAGGGCCCGAGAAAGCAAGCACACGACCCAAGGGCAGAGAAAACGAGAAAACGAGCCAGGGCCCGAGAAAACGAATCAAAAACCCAGAAGCCGAGAAAACGAGAAAACGATACAATGAACCAGGGTCCGAGAAAACGAGATAACGACCCAGTGGCCGAGAACACGAGAAAACGAGAAAACAAACCAAGGTGCGAGCAAACGAGACCACGACCCAGGCCGAGAAAACGAGAATATCGGTCCGAGAAAACGAGACCACAACACAGGGGCCGAGAAACCGAGAAAACGAACCAGGGCCCGAGAAAACGAGACTACGACCCAGGGGCCGAGAAAACAAGAAAAACGCGACAACAAACAAGCGTCCGAGAAAACGAGACCACAACCCAGGGGCCGAAAAAAACTAGAAAACACGACAACGAACCAGCGCCCGAGAAAGCGAGACCACGACCCAGGGGCAGAGAAAACGAGAAGACGAGAAAACGAACCAGGGCCCGAGAAAAAAACGAGACCACGACCCAGGAGCAGAGAAAACGAGGCAACGAGAAAACGAAACGGGGTCCGAGAAAACGAGACCACGACCACGGGGCAGAGAAAACGCGAAAACGATAAAACAAACCAGGGTCCGAGAAAACTGGACCGCGACCCAGACGCCGAGAAAACAAGAACACGAGGAAACAAACCAGGGTCCGAGAACACAAGACCACGACCCAGGGGACGATAAAACAAAAACAAGACAACGAATCAGGGTCAGAGAAAACGAGACCACGACCCGTACTCCTCGTCCTCTCCCACGTGTTCCACGAAGGGTTGCCACAGCGGCTGGGGGAACGCATGGTCCAATAGCATGGCCCAACTTTGTCCACACGTTTGACCATACAGGCGTATCCTCAGAGGCAGGAGGCGGCGGTGATTCGCCGTGGGCGTCTTCGATCCGCCGCCCCCTGTTGATTCACCACAGGGGTGCACGGCGTGCCAGATGCCTGCGAGATGTGCTGATTCTTCTCTAAAGAACTTCCCATGGGGCTTCGGCCCAGTCCGCCAGCTGCCCCACCCGCCGGCGTTCTCGCTCAAGATGGCCTCCAAGACGACCAGGATGCCCCCAAGACGGGCAAGACAGCCCCAACATAGCCACACCATAGCCCCATGATGACCTCCAAGACGGTCCCAAGGTGCCTCCCAAGTTGACAGTATGGCCCAAGAGAGCCCAAGATGGCCCCAGAAGCGCCCAAGAGGCCCCGAAGATGGCCCAAGAAGCGTCCTCCAGGAAAACCCAAAGATGCCCACATCATCGATCGTCCGTAGGTTGTTTCGCTGTCGGCTCCCTTCATTTGCTTTCGCTCGGCCTTCGGACGGCCCGAGACGGCCCAAGAGGCGCCCAAGGGGCCTCCAAGATAGCCCCACGACGGCCCAGGAGGCCCCCACGACGGCATCAAGACGGCCCCCAAAGGGCCCCAGGACGGCCCAAGAGGCCTCCAAATGGTCTCCAAACTGACTCTTAAGCGCCCCAAGAAAGCCCCAAGACGGCCCAGAGAAGCTTCCCAAACGGCTTCCGACTGGCCAGGAACGCCGTCAGACGGCCAAGGAGGCCCCCTAGAAGCCCCCAACGGCCCCCAAGAGGCCCAAGGAGGCCCCCCAAGAGGCCTCCAAGAGGCCCGCAGAATGACCCCCAAGGAGGCCCCCCAAGAGGCCTCCGAAAGGCCCAAGGAGGCCCCCCAAGAGGCCCGCAGAAGCTCCCAGGAGGCCCCCAAGAATGACCCCAGAGGCTCC